TCCACAATAATTCCAAGCGACACAACCCGACCTACGACCCAGCGATGTCGAAACTTTGGGCACTTGCCCCGTGCAATATCGGTGTGTTATCACGGGGACCGAGGCATCTCCGTAACGAGTGCGCTGCAAGATCGCAACAGCTCAACACGGCAGGTCGTAGGAGAGGTGGTGTCATTTGGTTCGTGGTCGAGTCCTGGCACGGGCGTGAAGGGCAACCGCGCTGGCGGCGGACCAGCCACCGCCAGCCCCGGCAGCCATCTCGCGAGCGCGCGCGATCCCGCCAGGCGCCTTGGCAGAATGGCGCGCCCCGCTCGTGCGCGCCGCGTGCGCTTGCCGCTGCGTGCACGCGCTGGCCGCGATCGCACGGGGGCGCGGACGTGGCGCCGCACCAACGCGGGCAACTAGCAGTCCGCGGCGTCGCGTGATCCCACAAGGCCAATCCCACACTCTGTCCAGGGTAGAAATACCCACTGCTCAGTCATCCTGGCCTGGACCAACTGTCTGAGTCGGTACAGCAGATGCTGTTGCTGATATTTCTTCTGTTTTCCCCTTTTCTCCTTCATCGTTTCATTCTCCTCCTCCTCCTCCTCCACCTCCTCCTCCTCCTCCACCTCCTCCTCCTCCTGATCCTCCTCCTCCTCCTCCTCCTCCTCCTCCTCCTCCTCCTCCTCCCAATCATCATCATCAATCATCATCATCATCATCATCATCATCATCATCATCATCATCATCATCATCATCATCATCATCATCATCATCATCATCGGCAGCAGTAGCAGCAGCATCCTCATCATCATCAGCATGATCATCCTCATCACCCTCATCATCATCATCATCATCATCATCATCATCCTCGTCGTCATCATCATCATCATCATCATCATCATCATCATCATCATCATCATCATCATCATCATCATCATCATCGTCATATTCATCCTCATCAACATCATCATCATCAGTATCGTCAGCATCATCAGCATCAGCATCATCATCATCATAATCGTAATCATCGTCATCATCATCACCATCACCATCGTCATCAGCATCAGCATCAGCATCATCAACAACAGCATCATCATCAGCACCATCATCATCAACATCAACATCATCGTCAGCAGCAGCATCATCATCATAATCACAATCATCAGCATCATCATTATCAGCATCATCATTATTATCATTATAATCAGCATCAGCATCAGCATTATCATCATCAGCAGCAGTAGCAGCATCGTCATCAGCATCATCATCAGCAGCATCATCATCTCCATCATCATCACCGTCATCTGCATCATAATCAACAGTAGCATCACCATCATCATTCACCATTCAGAATAAGCATCACCACCCCCACCACCACCACCATCATCATCGTCGTCATCGTCACCGTCATGATCTTTCCACCGATTGTCATCACCATAATTCGACCCTCGTTTTGTTCCCCCGAGGCACTCCCCCCCCGCCCCGCGGCGGGCGCTGGACAGCTTGCACGCTGCCGCTCTGGGCGCGGCGAGGCGAAGGGGCACGGGGCGGAACGGCGGGGCGCGTTGTCTCTGACACCGCGTGGATGTTGCAACCTTGAACGACCAGGGGCTTCTCGATCGCCAGGCCGCTCCATGTCGGCCGACGCCGGGCCACTCGCAGCGTTCAACCCCGAACGCCCGCGCAGTGTTCGCCCATGCCTCGACACGACACAAGCCTGCCGCCCCTCGTACACGCCCCTTGCTTCGGTTTCCCCTCGTTCTCCCTGCGGCGGGTTAGGGGGGTCAGCGTAGCGTTGCTTTCCCCGCTTTACGGCAGCCGTGGCCGCCAAATGAAAGACCACAAAATTTGTAGCGTCGTGGAGTTGCCTCCTCTTTTACTGCCGCGAGGATCCTCGCACGAGAGAACCACTATACAAATATATATATATATATATATATATATAATATATATATATATATACACACATATATGTACATACTAGAAATATTCGCGCGCACTCCGCGCGCGCTGTTTCCGGGTAACTCCAAGCGTTGGGAAGTCCAACCTTGTCCATGGCTGATTCCTCACCTTCCTACTGGTCGGCTTACTTCACTCAACATGTCGCGGCTATCGTCTCCCAGCTTGCTTATCGTTGCCTTCTCTCCTGCATTATGTTGTTTTTCGAGCCTTCGTTTTCATGATGGTATCCTTGTGTCTCATTAGACCCTCTCCCTCGTGTTCCGTTGTTCCTGCCTCACCCTTGCCTTTGGTCTCGCGCTGCCTCCCTCTCATGATCGTCCTTGTGTGGGCGTGCGCAGACACAGTACGTGGCCGCTCCCTTTCGATCCTGTTTCAACATCTTCCTTTCCACCACCCCCTCCTCCTGGTGACGGTTTGGGACCCCAAACTTATACGCCAGGGCTAAATTCACAGCCCGTGGAGGCCTCCAAGACAGCCTGCGAAACCAACACTGCAGCCCAAGAGCAGATCAAGAGAGTCCCAAGGCGGCCATGGGATGCTTCCAACACGGCCCCCGAAAGGCCAGACAGCGCAAGAACGCTACAAGACGTCCAGAACTGCCCCTAGAGGTCGAACAAAAAGAAAAAGAAACTCCCAAGAGATCTCCAGAGGCCCCCAGGAAGGCTCCGCAAGCCCCTAGGAGGCATGATGATCTTCTCGGATGAACTCCCATGTGGGACGTCCGATGAAGGTTGCCCTGCTCCTTGTGCTCCTCCTCCTTCTGCCTGTCATGTCGCCTCATCCTTCACTCCCTCATTCTGCTCCTCCTCGTGGACCCTCGGCCAAGTTGCAGCCGCGCCTGGGGTGGGTGGGTCATAAGGTGCTCGTTACAATGTCGTGGGATGATCATCAGGGGTGCTTTGGAGGCAATGTTGAAGTGTTTCGGATGCGATGTTGAGGCCTCCTCGGCGCGCTTTGGAGGCAATGTTGAAGCCTTTGGAACGCCGTTTTGAAGCCCTTCTGGGGCGTCTTGGGAGCCTTTTGGGGCCCACTGGGGGCCTGTTGGGGCCTCCTGCGGGCCTCTTGGGGCGGAAAGCTCGAATTGTCGGTTCGCGTGCCTCCCCTTGGTCCTCTCTTGGGGCCATCTTGGGGCTCTCTTCGGCTATCTTGAGGCCCTCGTGGGCCGTCTTAGGGGCCTTTCGGGCCGTCTTGGGGCACTCTTGGGGGGCTCTTGGGCCGTATTGGGGGGGTCTTCGGGACCTCTTGGTCAATGTTAGTTCGTCGGAAGCCCGGAAACGCGAGAAAGCAACAGAATCCTGGAAAAAAACAATAAGAATCAATGATTTTGCTATGTCGGGCCGCTGTCTGGAGGACTTTTGGAGGCGTCTTGGGCGGTCTCTTGGCGCATCTTGGGGCCATCTTGTGCGCCTTGGAGCAGTTTCCGGAGATTCAGATCCCTGTCGGATCCTTGTTGGACCATCGTGGGGGTTTGGGGGGGCCTCGTGGCCCGTCTTCGTTGGCCAGACAATCCCTGCCACCTGCATGGAGATCTGGTGTTTGCCCTTAGGGCCCCCTGGCCTGGACCCCGGATATGTCTATATATATATATATATATATATATATATATATATATATACATATATATATATAGAGAGAGAGAGAGAGAAATCTATAGATATAGACACGTTCCTCTTCCTATATTTTTATAAGCCCGGGCGGGGGGAAAACCCGTCCCCCCGCCAAAAAAAAAACGGACTCCCGGCATCTGGGGCTTTGGGACCCTCCAGACGGGCCTGGAAGCGGCCCCCGGGCCTCACATGGCGCTTTACCAAGCCTTCCCAGAACACCTAGGGCGATCAGGGGGGTCATCGGAGACGTCCCAGAGATCCCCAAGACAGCACAAGAGCGTTCCAAGAGTGACCGACGTGACCTCAAGATGGCCCAAGAGGCCACCAGGACGGCCCCAAAGAGGCCTCCAAGAGCACTCCCAAGAAGGCCCCCCGAGGCAACAATTATTGATCTTCTGTTTGTTTTTGGTGATTTTTGGGGTTCTCCTCTTTTCGGCTTCCCGACATTCCAAGACGGCGGTCTTCTGGGCGTCCGAAGCCGCCTGGGAGGCTCCAAAATCGGCCCACAACCATCCGAAAGGGCTTCCAGGCAATCCAAGAGAGCCTTAAAACGGCACAACACGGGTCCAAGGTGGCCCTCAGAGAGCCCCATGGTGGCCCAAGATGGCCCAAAGACATCCTCCGAAGAATTCCAAATCGTGATTCGGTCGTTCAGGGAAACCGCGGTTGGAGGCAGGGTGGCCCGAGGAAGCCCCCGGAGGCTCCCAGAATACGCCCAGGAAATTTCCAGAAGGCCTTAAGAAAGCCTGAAACAATTTTTGGGACGCCCCCAGAAGCTATCCAAGGAGGAGCCTCCGCAGAAAAGAGCTGAGGAGGACGGGGAAAATGCGCAGGGCGTGGCGAAAATAAGGAAAAATAAGCATGGAGGAAGGATAGCGAATAGCATTATTATTGCGGCGGTGCCAGAAAAAAACAACCAGGAGTTGTCGCTAAACTGTCGGCTTGACCTTCCTGCTATTCCGCCTGCATACCAAACTTCAAGGACCAAGGTGCATGGCGCGAAGCGCCACTGCAGTCTATATATATATATATAATATATATATATATATATATATATATATATATATATACATACATACATATGAGCTAGCGCGCCTGTTGTTTTCCTTCCGATTGCTGCGCCGAACAGCGCAAAGAAAACCATCACCATCTCTAAAGAATTAGCAAAGTATGAAAAGTTGTGCGGCCCCAGCGCTGATAGCAGACCGAGTTCAGGCGTCTAGATACTTTAAACTAGCGCGCCTGAGCATGTCCTTCCGATTGCTGTGCCGAACAGCTCTGTAGCTCATCCGAGGCTCGAGTTAAGCCAAGAAAACCAATACCATCTCTAAAGGATTAGCAGAATACGAACAGTTCTTTTCGGATATAGCAGACCGAGTTCAGGCGTCTAGATACTTTTTAACAAGTGCCCCTTATGAATTCATTACGATTGCTGTGCCGAACAGCTCTGTAGTTCATCTGCAGCTCGAGTTGAATTAAGAAAACCACACCATCTCCAAAAAAAATACAGCGAACGAATATTTGGTCTGCTCCAGCGCTGATAGCAGACCGAGGTCAAGCGTCTAGATACTTCAGACTTGTCGCGCCTGATGATTTCCTTCCGATTGATGTGCCGACCAGCTCTGTAGCTCATCTGCAGCTCGAGTTAAGTCTAGAAAACCATCCCCATCTCCAGAAAATTAACAGAGTACGAATAGTTTTTCAGCCCCAGCGCCAATAGCAGACCAAGATCAGGCGCCTGGATACTTGAAACTGGCGCCGGCGGTGAACCGTCAACCTGGTCTGCGTAGTCTGCGT